TCGCCGCCAGTCGGGCTCGGCGCCGCTCCAGCCGCCGCCGCCCGCTCCAGTCCCGGACGCGCCGCGGCACCACGTTTTAGTTCCTTTCTCCCCCGAGCGCCCCTCGACACCCTCGCGACGCACATGGCCCCCGAGAAGAACACTTCTATTTCCAGTCTCTGCAGCTCTCCCGGCCACAGCGCCCTTTGTTGAGAGGTAGATTTTGATAAAACGGGGACGGGTTCCTGAAATCGGGAGCTGCTTGGGTCAAGTGGTTTCCCTCCTCTCCCGAAGAAAGGGCTCTTGAGGGGTTTAAACATCCAGAGAACGCCCCCATTTTATAGGGACGGGTTACGTGGGGTGCAGGGATCCTATTAAGGTGGATGTTAGACTGGAGAGAACCCAAACAAAAATGTTATTAACTTAAGTTGGAGGAACACTTGTGTGAAATTGGATGGCTTGTAAGATGGCGGTTCCCAGTTGTTTCCAAGATCTCCTGCATTTGTGTGTAAAGTGGTAAACTTTTCAAGGTAGTATTTGTTGGGTGTCTTGGATAAGTTCTTTAAACGTCACTTGGGATGTACTCATTGGGAAGTGGACATTTCAAATTTGGAGCTTTTTTTGGATTGAAGATGGTGACTGGACGTTAGTCTTGGATAAGATTTCCTCTTTCTCTTTTCTTTTTCTTTATTTTTCTCTAGGAAACTACCATTTTTTTTATCAACCTCACCTATGAGTTGCAGTTAGAATCATGACTTAATTTCGCTACGTTTTGTAGGTTTTGCTAAATGTTACCATAGGTGATGTGGCAAAGGATGCTTTGGAAAAAGCACTAAGAAGTTGATTACATGTGTTTACGTAGTCTTTGGGGCTTGACAGCGATATAGCATAGTCTTTTTACCAGAGATTTACAGTTAATAATTGGAAGTAAACAAGTAGAGAGACTTTGATCATTCCCAATTGCAATAAAAGGATTTAGTGGGCTTAGTGGTCATAGTTCAATATTTGGAAGAGAAGCATGTATTAACCCCTTCCCTCAAAGTAGGAGAAATTCCAAGCATTTTTATCCAAATCCAAGTAAGCGTACGTTGGTGGTACCCAGAATGTTATGGGTAATTAAGATTATATTTTACAGGACTCATAACACCAAAGTTTTGCAAATATAATGAGCTCTACTAAAGACTTGATCCTAAAGGATATAAAGTGTTGGTCCCACATTTACCAAGTTATGAGACTACATATTAACATTTGAGTTTTGAGTTTTATTTCAAGTAGGTTCTTAGAAATCTCTAAGAAGTTGATTTTATGAGCAGAATAACACTTTTTTTTAACTTGAGTTTACTCCCATACATCTGCCCTGTAAATACAATGAAACATGCTTGAGAAAACCTACCTATGCAATGTACAATATCTTTAAATCCATGTCACTATAGATACACATATACACACCCTCACATATCTATAAGCTTTTGTAAGAAAATTATGCATTACATTTGGAAAATATATTACTACCCACTAAATTCTTGGGTGCATTTTAATTGCCCAAATAGGCAAAATTCTTAGGAGTCCTGTTGACCCCAATTTAGCTCATACTTGTATTGGTTGTATAAATCTGTGGGCTCAAACTGGGGTTGTGGAGTTCATTTGCATTTCTTAGATTGCTATAGTCAAGCTGATTGTTAATTTAAGAACTAGCTTCTGTTTTCCTTCATTCTGACAGTACTGGTGTTAGGCCTCCAACTAAACCTACAACCCCAACTGAGTGTGTTATAATGGCAACTTTTGAATATTGAGTATTTTTACCGTTGTATGTTTTATGCAATTTATTTGCTTAGCTGGCAGTTTCTGTTTTGGAATTTAGAAGGTTTTCATTTCTAAGGTCCAAGAGGTTGTTTCTCAAACCTTGTCAGGCATGTCAAGAAATGTTTTAGATGTCTTCATTAGATAGCTAGGACTTTCAGGATAAAAAGATAAAGAACTGATTTTTTATGTAAGTAACAAATTGTACATATTAGCATTACAAATGGTGATAGGATTGTGGTTGGATTCTACAGAACCTCAGTAGAAGAATTGTGTGAATTAAAATTTTGAAAGGATTTTGGTCAAGTATGTGTGACTTAAATATTCAAAACCAACAAGTAGACTACACTCTACTGAGATTTGAGAATTCTGTGTGTTAATATTTGTGTTTGTGTGGTATTGTAAGGTAGAGGAGAAATAAAGGTAGCTATTTTTTAGTCCCTTAAAATTTATGATCTATGGCATTTGTGTGATGTACTTTCACACACAACAGACTCTGAAGTCTTACCATCTTGCTCTATCTTTCTAGGAAAACTGTGATTTCACAAGGACCTTTTTAAGAACTTAGCAGACTGGTCTTTAAAGTTGAGTACAAGTGGATTTAAAATAGTGGTTATCTTTAGGGCCATTTCTCTACCTACAGCTGCCCTCCAACCCCACTTAGATTTATAGTCACAGAATTTTGGCGGTATTCTTTCAAACAAGTAATCCACATTAGTCATACACGAAGTTGAGGTCACTGGTTGCCATTATGGGTGTTTCATTAGAGAGACCTTTACCTTTTTATTTATTTTTAAAGTACTGTAACGCTTTTAATTTGAGCCATTAGGGTATGTTCATTGGTATTTTCTTCTTTAAAATCCCCAAGAATTAACCTGGGATGCATCCCACTGCAAGTTTCAAAAAGTTCCTAGATTTCTGTGCAAGGCAGCTTTCAGAGTTAAGACAGGTCTAGAAACATAAGTCTTACTTCAGATTCTGAAATGAATGTAGGGGTAAGAAATGTCTTTTTCAAGAATACTACAGTAATTAATTGACTTCCTTGATTGTCCGCCCAGTGTATTGTTGCTGACAGTTCCC